CAGCAGAGCTGGGGCACGCCAGGCTGCAGACCAGACGAACTATTCCGACTCATCGGCTCCTCTCAATAATGTTGAGACTATATACAATTCCAATGATCAATCACCTGAGTTTCACAAGAGCTATCAGGTCAGTTTTGACGTTGCCCTACTACTTCATTTTGTCAACCTTTTATATCTCTTACTTATGTTTACTTCAGCAATATTGATCAGTCAATCATGAAATTACCTCTTTGATAGTATGTCCATACGATGAAATTGTAGTGCTTATACTTATCACTTTGTCTAATGGTAGAGACTGCTAAGGAAGCACTTCCATGAATCCATGCCTGGTACATTTTGTGAATTTGTTGTTAAAAAAGATTGGATGTTCCCTGGTCTTTACTGAAGTAATGGTTTACCAACTTGGATGACTTGGCATTCATTGTACTGTGATCAGTGGTCACACTACTTTTTGTCTAGCTTGCTATTGAAATTTGAAAATGTTATTTTGTTCTAGTTCCAGGGTGACCAAGGGGCTGATTCTCCTGCTACGTGCACAAATGACGAGCCCAATCAGCCGAGCCCAACATCTGTCCTCGAAGCATGCTTCTCACACGGTGCTTCCTCCTTAGGAAGTCCAACTGAAAAGATCGGTAAATACTTTTGTAGTATCACCTTGAATGTTGTACTAGGATGTAAGGATACCTTGTAGCTAGTAACCCCTGCAAGCGAAAATTCCATGGCGTGGACGAGCACGCCTGCTCACGGTATCTCCGGGCGTCGGTTCGTGGTGGGATCTGGGATGGGCGCGGCAGTACAGGGCGTGTACGCGGGTAGTTAATGCGTACGTTTTGGATGGAGTTTTGAGGTTGTACAGTGAGTCTGGACGGACGTACAGGACATAACGATGGCGTTGAGGTACTGTACCAACGTGTGCTGTAGGTGCAAACGGCAGGAGAAAACGGTGGGTTTCAGTTGCAGACGGGCTACCGTCGGCGCTGGCCCACCAACTACATTAACTGTGGCTGCGGCACTCGTGGTCGATCCATTTAACCCTAGCGACTTGTTCAATCGATCCTCAAATCAGAAGAGAGGAAACCCTAGTTTGCGAAGATGGCAAACCGACCATTGCTCAAGCAAGCCGCACAAAAGTAAAACAAACTGAATTTCTTCCAAGAAATAGGGACTGAACGGAAAGTTCATTATTTTCCTAGTGCTGAAATACAAACGGAAATGCAATCGACAACACTGACATAATAGTACAATTATGCGAAAATTCAGTTACATACGCAATGTTCATGAAAGACACAGAAGCAAAGACGCAGATACCGATGACAGCATCACACATTGATCAGTGGCGATTTATTATTCAAGACCGTCTTCTGGATAATGGCTACGAAGCCCTCAACAGCACATCACACTGTAGAATTCTAAATCAAAGGCTGCTCCAAAGTTGCATTTTCAACAACATGCAGCACAACTTTAGGTTTGTTGCGGGTGTTTCTTTCTGTGACCATCGACACCACAGTTTGAGCATTTTCTTTCCAAGGAAGATCACCTCTCTTGTGACCTCCCTCACCGCAGATACTACAGAAACGAGTACGCTTGCTTGTTCCACACCTATCAGCAACTTTTTATTTGGTGCCTGCTTCCATTTTTTGCTCTTCGCGCCTCGGTCATCATACAGACGCTTGTCCCTGCTGGTAGTTGGTCGTTCTGCTTTACGCTTTCATTCTGGAGGCTTTAAGCCAACGAAACTACCAATTGCACTGCCTTGGGCATCACTCCCTCCCCACTTGCTGCTGGATGCATTGCAATCAGTTCCTTTTCTTTTCCTTTCTCCGACTGGACTCTGTCTTGAAGTCCCATTCCATCACGGACGCTTGCCATAGGTGTCAGTGTATCCATTGATTTCTTCAGTATATCCATTGCACATTCATACGTACCTGTGTTGGCGTCTCCTATACTGACAACTTCAAGGGCGTGAGTGTGTAGGTTGGAGTGTCTGAATGTTATTGAATTGACACTAATCGTATCCTTTTGAAGATGCACCAAATGATCTGGCAGCACATCTCTTGCATCCTTTGTCCATCGTTTGAGAATGTGCTTGGCTGGTATCTGATCTATTCCAAGGACTTCAAGGACCTACAGAACAACATATGTGGTTTGATATGGTTAGATATGATCAAGCAAAAAATCCTCTTCCTTTTTTTTGGTGCACACGGACTTATGAAGGAAAAAAGAAACCACCGTATCGGATGCATGTGGTACAGTGATAACTTATGTTACCTTAAGTGTGTGGCAGCACAGCAAGCCTGTGTGTTCAAAATTACCACACTCACATACTAGTTGTGCGCCTTCGTCGACAACTTCTACTTGGTACACAACTCTATACCACTGTCATGCTTCTCTGGGTGGTACCGTCGTGCCAAATACGTATTCCATCTGATGACTTCCTCTGTCTTGTACTGACCTGCTTCATACAGGACTTCGCCAAATTTCTCAAACATAGCTCGAGTGTATACATCGCTAGCGTGCATCTCTAGTGGTGTGCATTTTCATAACTGGTGAAGTCTGAAATGAATGAGGTACACAAGTAATGTAAAAGTTCAGGTAGTGAGTCCACAGCCTTTTTATCTGCATACATGAATTCAGAGAAAAAAAGAACAACTTACTATCTTAGTATGTCTTTCCTCGTAGTTCTCAGCTGCTTCCCTGTTGAAAAGAAGCCTCATCTACTGGCGAACGAATAGATGCATGGGGCAGCTTGCTGGAACATAATTCTTAAGCATATGGTTTGAACTTTCACTGCACTGTGTACTGGTCATTTTTGCACAAGATTTTCCATTGAAATATGGTTTCGCCCATTTCATCCTTGTTTCATAGATCTGAGTCAGGTAAGGGTGTTTTTGCAAGCCGTGTGTTCTGTCAAATGTCCCCATGCTGTCTCGAACTCATCGACTGTGAGCATGTGACGTATTATCTTGTGGAACTCGATTCTGAACTTGCTCCTCTTTCTGTAATGTGCTCCAAGAGATTCTTTTGCTTTCTTCAGGATGTGCCCCTTACACCAGACATTCTATTGCTACTTCCATGGCCCTCCATTGATCTGTTTTTTTTGAACGGGCTCCATTGATCTGTAGACACATAAATCAAAACATTGTCCTTACAATCATCATACTTGAACAATAGGAACATACAATGGAAAAAGCGCCATAGTGTGCAAATGCAACCTAAAATTTCAAATATAAATGTTTATTCATGCACACCTGTTAGCAAGGTTTGTGGATGTTTGCCACCCATCATGCGGATAAATTCAGTGGACACCCATGTAAATGTTTCCGCTGTCTCATCCCTGACCAGGACTCCGCCGAAAATGACACTTTGGAAGTGGTTGTTGACTCCGACAAACAGCCCGAATGGCATATCGTACATCGGTAAGACCGTGTGTTGCTCCTTTTCGGGACACCCTGCAATTCTTTTTGTGGGAAATAACAATGTGCGTTTTCATTTTTGAGGCTACAAAAAGATTAGTACAATATATACAGTGATGAAATCGAAAAGAATTACTAACTGAGCAGCCGCAAACTATTTCCTTCATACAGTTTGTTCTCTCGACGTTCAATCTGCTTTTTCTATATCTAATCCCAAACCCAAATTCTCAGGGATACAGATTGTAATAGTCGTATGCCTCTCCAAGGGGATCAAAGTTGTCTCCGACGGCAGGAATTACGACATTGTCACACTTCTTTTTTGCATAGCATCTGAGTGCTTTTTCCAGTGCCCTTATCCTCCCAACGTAGGGGGGGGGGGGCTCAAGGGGTGCATGCCTGACACGGACCCTGTGTGATTAATTGGCATACAGACGAATCATTACCACGCAATTGTTTTACATAACTATGACTAATTGGCATACAGACATTCCACAGCAAGTAAGAGCAATTCATTTGCCATCCAAGCACAACACTTTCAGAAGGAGCGGGCAAGAACAGTAAGTTGTCCGTCAAAATCAAAGCGGACAACAACGGGCGTCAATAAGGGAGAATATGGAAGGTACCTATCGACTAGATCTGACAAAAACTCGTAGCCGCCGCCTCCCGCCTTCGCCGTCGCCATTGCTCTGTTTTCCCTTTAGCTCTTGATGAGGCGGTCAAAGCGATAAGTGTCTTTTTTTTCCTTGAGCGCGTTGGGGCGGTCGATGGGGACAGGGGGGGTGCGGACCCGTGGTGCCACGTATGCTTATCTGTCGTAAACAACGCCGTTTGTTTGCCGGCCTGCATACAATGGGCAACCGGTTTGGACCGGTAGTCACGTCATGCACCATCCGAACAAGATAAATCCTGCCGTGACAGAATCGTCATATCGAACGGGGAGTTCCCCGTATATTACTGTTCCAAGCTACGCATCTTTGTATTCACTCTTCGATCGCATTCAATGCTCCATTACACCCGTCAATGTTCGATTGGCACGCGTAGCGTGAGCAGGCGCGCCCGTCCACTCCATCGCCGCTCTCCCCCTGCAAGCCACTTTACTTTTAGTTAGGTTGAAAGGCCTTTTCTGAAGAAGAAAATGTGTGCTACAAAATAAAGTTTCCTCTTTATTTACTCTACTTCTGTTGCTGATCTGAAGTAAGAATATATGTTTATATGCCGACGAAACCTTAAATGAATAGTTATGTTTTGCATAAAATGCATTTGGCCACGAAATTGATTGCTTTAGTGCACATCTTGACGCGGTGTTGCAGATTAAAGGTATGTATCACGATGAGTAGCGGAAGAAACAACAAATAGTTTACATATATTACTAATATTTGAACTATTATAAGACAATGTTCTGTTACGCTATCTTCTAGTTAACTTTGCTCGGCTGAAATGAACTCTCTTTAGAGAGAAGCTTAAAACAATTCTGATTTACAGAATGGATTGAATTAGTAGGTTTTGACGTGTGTAATGGAGTATAGATTATGATGATAATGTATGGTTTTTCTTTTGTATGCAGAGAGTACTGAATTCTTTATTTCAATGGAGAACAAAATGGAAGATCTCTTCAATCTAGAGTCTGAAATCGTAGATATGTCCATGTCCATCGACACAATGAAGACTGATGATCACGGCAGCAATGCAGAAATACCATGTGTTCAGAGTTCTCCAGAGCATGATTTTGAGTTCCTAGAAGGCAGGCTCCACAGCATCAGAGAAGCCATTGCAAATGTTGAGCTACTTCTGGACAACAGCCTCTTCTGTGGCACACCGTCAAGTCTATCACTCCATTCATTCATCGTTGAGATGCTGGAGACCGTTGAGGCCGTCTTTGGCGATGGATCAGAGAGCAGCTTCGGCTTCCAGGAAGAAAACAACTTTCAACGCACCAACTTCATGTTTGACTGCATCGTCAAGTCGCTGGACTCGAAGTTCCGCGACTTCAGAAAATGCGGGTACAAGGCTTTGTTGTGAATGCCTCTCACCATGAGCAAAGACCTGCTGAAGAGGGAGATATCCAAAGAGATCGGCAGGTGGAGCGATGTTTCATCGGACCGTGCTGCGGAGAAGGAGTTGGACCAGGTGGCGGCGGAGAGGTGTGACGGGTGCCGGACCGAGGCGTTCGACATCAGCGTCGCCATCGAGGACGACATACTCGAGGCCATCGTCGGTGAGTTCACCTTCGACCAATGCTGCTGAAAGTGTGGAAGTTTACTGGTTAACATGGCATTGGTCAGGCATGAGTAACACTTTGCAGATATGTACTCTATTTCTCCTCCGAAGATGTTATACAGCGTCATGTAGTAATATGGACGCTCCCGCCCCCGGTTAGTCCCAGATTTAATTCAGGTGTGCTATACTGCGGGTTGAATCAGGCAAATGGCAGGGGGTTTTGTGCAAAACTGCACGCGCTGACCGGCCCAGCCACTTGGCAGCCAATTGGCGCGCTGTGATTGGCTTGGGACTAAAACATCACATGAGATGCAAGTTGGGGTATGGCTTGGTCAAGTTTTGCAAGTTTGGGACTAGATCATCACATCCTGTGCAAGTTAGGGTACCTGGGGTGCTATTACCTCTTCACATATATGGGTCCAAATCCACACTTACATCATACTCTACATGATATGAGCAACATAAAGACTGTTATCGTACCAGATTCGCATGCATAGTTCAGAAGCACAAAAGTGACTTTAGGTTCACATACATGTATCTTAACTCATGAAAATATGGTGGAAGCATATGACTGAAGTTGCTTGTTTTGTTTGAGGGTACAAACGACCGGCAAAGTAAAGTCTCTTCACCATATTGGGGTGCAGGTATGGAATCACTCTGTTCACTGGCATCAACAGTTGTCAATCAGTGATGCCATTTATCTCCATTGAGTGTTCTGTCATTTACAGGGAGAGATTTGCTGGGATGTACTCTCCTTGGGTCTACTCTTTTGCACAGACGGAATCATTCTGTTCACAACCAATGGCCTTCTCAAAACAAAAACATCTTATGTCCTTTCGAGCTTTTTTTATTGCCAAACAATTTAATTTTTCAGCAAATAACTTGAATTTGGATCCATCCTGTGAATTAAAGAGACAACTTTGCATCAAACCTATGCTGGTGTGCATGAGTATTGCTAGACAATCAGAAATAAAGTAAAGCATTAATCTTGTTGTGATCACAACCAAGCAAACTAACTCCATTACTAACATTGCTAGAAAATCTGATCATTACTAACTGATTATTAACTAGATGGTCTGTAGCTACTACTAACATTGCGTTCAAATGAGCCTCTATATTGCTACTACTACCATTGCTTTCCCAGGAGTGCCACTTACCCATCTGAACAAGCCCATGTGGATGCGCCCGGCCTGAAGCTGTTGTCGATGCCAACCCGAGGACACCCTGACAGGAACCTCCAGCCAGCTGGCGACTGACCCAGCAATGCCCTGGTCTGATGCTGCTGCAGCCGGGGCACCTGTCAGGAAACATATCATGCAATTTCAAAAATATTCCTATGCTCACGCAAGATCTATCTAGGAGATGCATAACAACGAGAGGGGGAGAGTGTGTCCATGTACCCTCGTAGACCGAAAGTGGAAGCATTTGTTAACGCGGTTGATGTAGTCGAACTTCTTCTCATTCCGACCGATCAAGTACTGAACTTACGGCACCTCCGAGTTCTACACACGTTCAGCTCGATGACGTCCCTCGAACTCTTGATCCAGCAAAGTGTCAAGGGAGTGTTGCGTCAGCACGACGGCATGGTGACAGTGATGGTGAAGTGATCCACGCAGGGCTTCGCCTAAGCACTATGTGAATATGACCGGAGGCATAAACTGTGGAGGGGGGCGCCGCACACGGCTAGGAATCAATATTGTGTGTTCTAGCTGTGCCCCCCCCCCACATATATATAGGTGGGAGAGGGAGAGGGGCAGCAAGGGCGGCCTCCCCCCTTCCATAAGTGTCGGAGGGGGAAGGAAAGAGAGGGGGTAGAAGGAAAGGGGGAGGGCAAATCCTCCCCTTTCCTTCTCCCTTCCCCTTCTTCTCCTATTTCGGCCTATATGGGGGTGCACCAGCCCACCACGGGCTGGTCTGTCCCTCTCTTGGCCCATAAGGCCCATAGCTTTGTCGGGGGTGCCCGAAACCCCTTTCCAGTGACACGATACGTACTCGGTACCCCCGGAACACTTCCGGTGTCCGAATACTATCGTCCTATATATGAATCTTTACCTCTCGACCATTTCGAGACTCCTCGTCATGTCCTTGATCTCATCCAGGACTCCGGACAACATTCGGTCACCAAATCACATAACTCATATAATACAAAATCGTCATCGAACGTTAAGCGTGCGGACCCTACGGGTTCAGAACTATGTAGACATGACCGAGACACCTCTCCGGTCAATAACCAACAACGGAACCTGGATGCTCATATTGGCTCCCACATATTCTATGAAGATCTTTATCAGTCGAACTGTTATGACAACATACATTATTCCCTTTGTCATCGGTATGTTACTTGTCCGAGATTCGATCGTCGGTATCTTCATACCTAGTTCAATATCGTTACTAGCAAGTCTCTTTACTCGTTCCATAATGCATCATCCCTCAACTAACTCATTAGTCACATTGCTTCCAAGGCTTCTTATGATGTGCATTACCGAGAGGGCCCAGAGATACCTCTTCGATACTCTGAGTGACAAATCCTAATCTTGATCTATGCCAACCCAACAAACACCTTCGGAGATACCTGTAGAGCATCTTTATAATCACCCTGTTACATTGTGATGTTTGATAGCACACAAGGCATTCCTCCGGTATCCAGGAGTTGCATAATCTCATAGTCGGAGGAATATGTATTTGACATGAAGAAAGCAATAGCAAAAAAACTGAATGATCATAATGCTAAGCTAACGGATGGGTCTTGTCCATCACATCATTCTCCTAATGATGTGATCTCGTTCATCAAATGACAACCACATGTCTATGGTTAGGAAACTTAACCATCTTTGATTAACGAGCTAGTCTAGTAGAGGCTTATTAGGGACACAATGTTTTGTCTATGTATCCACATATGTATCAAGTTTCCGGTTAATACAATTCTAGCATGAATAATAAACATTTATCATGATATAAGGAAATATAAAATAACAACTTTATTATTGCCTCTAGGGCATATTTCCTTCAGTCTCCCACTTGCACTAGAGGCAATAATCCAGTTCACATCGCCATGTGATTTAACACCAATAGTTCACATCTTTATGTGATTAACACCCATAGTTCACATCGCCATGTGACCAACACCCAAAGGGTTTACTAGAGTCAATAATCTAGTTCATATCTCTATGTGATTAACACCCAAAGAGTACTAAGGTGTGATCATGTTTTGCTTGTGAGAAAAGTTTAGTCAACGGGTCTGCCACATTCAGATTTGTATGTATTTTGCAAATTTCTGTGTCTACAATGCTCTGCATGGAGCTACTCTAGCTAATTGCTCCCATGTTCAATATGTATCGAGATTGAGACTTAAGAGTCATCTAGACCAGTGTTAAAGCTTGCATCGACATAACTCTTTACGACGAACTCTTTATCACCTCCATAACTGAGAAACATTTCCTTAGTCCTCTTTAAGGTAACTAAGGATAATTTTGACCGTTGTCCAGTGATCTATTCCTGGATCACTATAGTACCCCCTTGCCAAACTCATGGCAAGGTAAATAATAGGTTTGGTACACAACATGGCATGCTTTATAGAACCTATGGCTGAGGCATAGGGAATGATTTCCATTCTCTCTTTATCTTCTGTCGTGGTCGGGTTTTGAGTCTTTTACTCAACTTCACACCTTATAATACAGGCAAGAACTCCTTCTTTGACTGATCCATTTTGAACTCCTTCAAAATCTTGTCAAGGTATGTACTCATTGAAAGTCTTATCAAGCGTCTTGATCTATCTCTATAGATCTTGATACCCAATATGTAAGAAGCTTCACCAAGGTCTTTCATTGAAAAATTCTTATTCAAGTATCCTTTTATGCTATCCAAAAATTCTATATCATTTCCAATAAATAATATGTCATCCACATATAATATCAGAAATGCTAGAGAGCTCCCACTCACTTTCTTGTAAATACAGGCTTCATCGTAAGTCTGTATAAAACCATATGCTTTGATCACCTCATCAAAGCGTATATTCCAACTCCGAGATGCTTGCACCAGTCCATAGACGGATCACTGGAGCTTGCACGTCTTGTTAGCACCTTTAGGATCAACAAAAACTTCTGGTTGCATCATATACAACTCTTCTTAGAGATATTCATTTAAGGAATGCAGTTTTGACATCCATTTGACAGATTTCATAAAATGTGGCAATTACTAACATGATTTGGACGGACTTAAGCATCGCTATGGGTGAGAAAGTCTCATCGTATTCAACTCCTTGAACTTGTTGAAAACCTTTTGCGAAAAGTCGAGCTTTATAGACAGTAACATTACCATCAGCGTCAGTCTTCTTCTTGAAGATCCATTTATTTACTATGGGTCACCGATCATCGGGAAAATCCACCAAAGTCCACACTTTGTTCTTATACATGGATCCTATCTCAGATTTCATGGCCTCAAGCCATTTATCGGAATCTGGGCTCATCATAGCTTATTCATTGTTCGTAGGTTCGTCATGGTCTAGTAACATGACTTCCAGAACAGGATTACCCTACCACTCTGGTGTCGATCGTGTTCTGGTTGACCTACAAGGTTCGGTAGTAACTTGACCTGAAGTTTCATGATCATCATCATTAGCTTCCTCTCTAGTTGGTGTAGGCAATACGGGAACAGATTTCTCTGATGAACTACTTTCCAAAGTGAGAGAAGGTACAATTACCTCATCAAGTTATACTTTCCTCCCACTCACTTCTTTCGAGAGAAACTCTATCTCTAGAAAGGTTCCATTTTTGGCAATAAAGATCTTGCCTTTGGATCTGTGG